CACACACACACAAACAATCATACACACCATGGGGCGTCAGAATTTGCTTCTTTCCATTTGCATTTATGCAAAAACGCATAAAAAGCGCAGCTCTCCCAAAACTTCTGTTAGATGATGAACAACAGAAAAAAAATCTGAGAAAAACAATAGGAATAGAGTCAAGAATAACAGGAGTTTCACTCTTCCAATAAATGAAAAAGAAAGCCCTTGACTTCCATCCGTACATTGGGGACAATGGGAGACGTTCTGATACGTGAAAGCATTTTATTGAGAGAAAGATAATGCGCGTGTGCCCTGCCTCATCAACCGTCTATAAAAGCAATGATTTTGGGGGAAAAATAATCATTATTTAAAGATCAGGATTTGCATAATTTGCACAATTATATTGATTCGAGATTTACATATTCGGTTCCAAAAGCTTTTACTTGCATAAGCTGCAATTAATAGTCTGGTCTTCAACTGTGCAATTGAAAACTTTCTCAGCTGTTTTGACCAGTGCTGTGCGGCTCGGTGGTCAGTCTATTGGCGATCCTGACCTGCGTGAAAGTGATGATAATAATTATTATGCGTTTTTGCACACATGCAAATGCAAAAACGCATACTGTGAGGACCCCGGTGTGTGTGTGTACGTGTATGTGTGTGTGTCTTTCTGTCTGTCTGGGTACTTCAACTCGACAACCAAGCAAGCCTCGGCGCCAAAATTTTGCCAGTGGGTTTCCCCGACCAACTGGATTGTTGCACGAACCTTCACGCACGTCTAGGCCTCGTGTACGGCCCCGTGAAATTTTTTGGCGGAAAAACACTAACTGGGGAACCAGGGAATTTTAAGGGAATGTTTCTAGTCCACGTACAATTTAAAGGTTTCAAATTCAGCCTCTAGGTTTGCGTGGTCGTCGAATACGGCTCCTTGAAATTTTTTGGCGGGAAAATCGCTAACTCAGGGATCAATAGTTGGCCAACACACGGGCCGCCCGTGCGAAGATGCGTTTTTTGCATAGTTCCTCGCAGTTTTTGCCACTACTGGCACCGGCTTTTCTGGCAAATGATTTAGTTAAACAAATTAAGACTGGCTGCCAGAACTCTCAGGAAACACCCCTTAAAATTTCAGCCTTCTGGCTTTCCTGGCTCCTGAGTTGGCAACTTACCCGAAGAAGCTTCCACGGGTCCGTACGTGGGTACCACGCAAGCCAGGTGCTTGGGTTTGAGATCACCAACACAAGCTTGTATGGGGGACATCCCCTTAAAATCCCAATCCTCTAGCCTCTCAGTTTCCTGAGTTAGCAACTTACCAGAAAAAATTTCACAGGACCGTGCATGAGAATCACATATAACCGTGGGTGGGTTTGAGCCCACTAACACCGTGGACAGGGAACATTTTCTCAAAATTACAGTCTTCTAGCTTTTCAGGTTCGCAAGTTAGCAACTTGCCCGAAAAAACTTTCACAGTCCGTACGTAGGTACCATGCGTACCCGGCAGCTGGGTTTGAGCTCATCAATACCTACTTGGAAGAGGAACAATGCTTCAAAATTCTAGTCTTCTAGCTTCTCAGGTTCCCTAGCTAGCAACTTACCCGGAAAAAAATTCAGCGGGCTCGTACATGGATGCCGTATATACCCGGAGACTGGTTTTGAGCTCATTAATACCTGCCTGGACGGGGAACGTCTCCTTAAAATTTCAGCTTTCCAGTGTTTCTGGTTTCCGAGTAAGCAGCTTACCCGTGAAAAAGTTTAGCGGGCCTGTATGTGGGTGCCACGCGGCAAGACCGCCATTTTGGGAGCGGAGGATCGTGCACGCATGTAGATTAAGTTCCCAAAGCTTCAGCCCTGTAGCTTTCGTACGTCTCGAGACAAGAAATCGGTACAGAGGCCCAGCGCACGCACAGACAACCTCTCGTCAGTATGCGTTTTCCACGTTGCATACCTGCAAAAAAAAAGCATAAAAAAAATGGGAGGTTGAAATTTTAATGAAATGTTTTCCATCCAAGCAGTTGTAGAATTAATTTCCTGAGCTTCGAGGACCAACATGTCACAAATTCTGGTTAGTGGGATTCCAAGCGACCTGACTATAACACGTTAAAAAGCATAATTGCACGGGCCCGCCTGACGCGCGCCGCCAGTGATTTAAATCCATACTCATAATAACATTTTAACGAAAACTCAGATATCGCAAAAGTACTGCTTTGAAAAGTGGTAAGATGCAATGTTAGATGAAAATCGAACAGTAGGATATCGGGAAAAAATGATGTAATTTTTCGTGCTTTACTATTCTCAGCCGAACTAACAAAAATTGTCGGGTTCTTCATAAATTGTTTTGCGTGTTGGGCTGTTTAACAGCAGCACAAAACGCATATTGCCACCCGGTTGCTTCTGTGTGTGTATGTGTGTGTGTGTGTGCGTGTGTGTGTGTGTGTGTGTCTGCATTTTTTTCCGCACTTTCAACTCATTAACTACAAAGCCTAGGTAACTGATATTTTAGTCCACATGTGATTTCGTAAGTTTAAATTAAACCTTCCCGTGCCCGCTGGTAGCACACACAGCCCCGTGAAATTTTTGGCGGGGAAAATTATTATCTCGGGAATCTCGAAAGCTAGGAAACTGAAATTTTGCGGGTATGTCCCCTGCCCATGTGCGACTCAGAAAATTTATATTCAGGTCCCCCGTGAATATCGTCCTTGAAGATTATTGCTTTAAATGTGCTAAACTGTTTAAAAGGTGAATTTCTCATTAAAATATCATCTCTTTAATTGATGGGTTTGCCTGTATTGTTTATGAGTGAAGAGCAATTTTTGTTATCTAACTATGTGTTATCAGCGAAACTGGCTACTGGAAAACAGTAACAAAATAAACGAGCAAATATTATTTGTTTGCACAATTGCACTAGACGCAAAATATGGCCCCTTTCTTTGGGTTCATATGGTTACGCAAACCCTCAACCTATAGTTTAAAGATGCGAAGAGGGCGATTTTTGGTGTCTGTGTGTTATCAGCAATGTTGACTACTGGAAAACAGTAACAAAATAACGCAAATATTATTTGCTTGCACAGTTGCACTGGACGCAAAATAGAGTTCATATGGTTATGCTAACCCCCAATCTCAATTTCCCATTTCCCATTCTGCCAAACTGCTCTAATCACTGGGAATTTCAGCCACTGCGCGTTTCGGGATCATCTATAGCAATAATTTGTAACCGCACAGACACTAAAATGTGTTCTACATTACTTAGTGTCATAATTGCCAATTAGTCCGCTTTGCCATCTGTTGCCCTTCGTTTTTACCACCACTTGTTTAGCTTAGCGTAAGTAATTTAACTTGCAGCATGTGTATAAAATGCAAATACCACACGAGCATACATGCTAAAACTACAGCAT